ACCTAAGCAGAGAGATGTCAAGTTCCAGAGTCAGAGTCAAACTGAAAGGCAGCACTTGGGGTAAGTGAATTTAGGTCTTCTGATTTTGAATTCAGTGAGTTTTTTAAAAAACGTTTTATTATTTTTATTTTATGTGTATCAGTGTATGCCTGCATGTATGTGAGTATACCTGTGTCGTGCAATGCTGCAGAGATCACAAGAGGGCTTCGGATACCCTTGGAAATGGAGTTAAGGACAGTTCATAGCCGCCATGTGGGTGCTGGGAATCAAACCTGGATCCTCTACAAGAGCAGTCAATGCTCTTAACCGCTGAGCCATCTCTCCAGCCTCTTATTATTTTTATTTTATGTGTATGAGTATAATGGCTGCATGTAGGTAAGTGCACCCATGTTGTGCAATGCCTGTGGAGGTCAGAAGAGGCCGTCAGATCCCCTGGGAGTGGAGTTACAGACAGTTGTTAGCTGCCATGTGGGTGCTGGGATTTGAACTTAGAACAACCACCACTGAGCCATCTCTCCAGCCCCTATATATACTTTTTAAAAGGAGTTTGAACAGAAGTTGAGAGGACAATGCTGCTACTAGAAGACATGGATCATCAAACACATCTCAGTGCAGACATGGAATAACTCCTTACAATTTATTGGACAGGAGACCTTAGAGGTCACTAGGATAGAGACAGTTGTTAGCTGCCATGTGGGTGCTGGGATTTGAACTTAGAACAACCACCACTGAGCCATCTCTCCAGCCCCTATATATACTTTTTAAAAGGAGTTTGAACAGAAGTTGAGAGGACAATGCTGCTACTAGAAGACATGGATCATCAAACACATCTCAGTGCAGACATGGAATAACTCCTTACAATTTATTGGACAGGAGACCTTAGAGGTCACTAGGATAGCACAGGCTATGCCATTGTTCTTTGATGCTCATTATAACCGGATGATAAGACCCTATTATCGAAGGTACCACAATATTTGGGGTACAGGGCATAGAGAAGTCAATCTTGAGCTGACCTGGAAACTTCCTCCACTGATAGCTTTCAAAGTGCTAGAAGTTGCTATGAGGATGCATAGCTTTGGAGGTCACAGGACCTAGGGAGAAAGCCTGCCATTATAATCATACTAAGTAGGCATGGTGCTTTCTAAATACTTTTGTTTAAAACCATAGATAAGAATTGCTTTCAGTCTTGGTCATATATGTTTATTTTCAGTGGGCAGTAGTTAATGCAGAGATTTGTAACTGATCATAGCACTGAGAAGTGACTTTGATTGCTAAGCCCAAGGAGCATTTGTATCAATGCCCAACCCACACTGCTCAGAGGTTTGGAAAGTATGTAAGATCTATGGAATGGGAAGAAGTTCTACAAAATGCTGTTTTCCAGACATGACATAGCTTTTGTACTTAGGAAATCTCAGCAGCTCTGTTTACCTGCATAAGGCCTGTCAAGGCCCAAGTACTCAAAACCCAGCATGAATGTAGGTAAGAGTAAAAGTCCTTACTCCTAACTTATGACCTACCATCAGTTGATGGTCGCTGTGGAAGGGAGAGTCATTTTTCCTCGAGGGTCTGGTCACTGGTAAACTGTCCAAAATCCAGCAGATGGGCTCATATCCACTTACCTGGCACATTAGGGTCAAGCTAAGAGGACACAATATGATACATATGCATAAATAAAAAAGACAACTTGAAGTTGGGAGGGAGACATGTTGAGAGGAACTCAGTGGAACAGATTGGAGGAAGGAAAGAGTGCAAGGATATGATCAAAAAATATTGTATAGACG